AAGACACTTATCTGTCCTTATCTTTGCTATTAGCTGAGATACATGGCTTTTAAAAAGACACTTTCTGGCGCTATCTTTGCTAATAGCTGTGATATATGGCTTTTAAAAGACACTTTCTGCCTCTATCTTTGCTAATAGCTGTGATATATGGCTTTTAAAGACAATTATCTGTCCTTATCTTTGCTATTAGCTGTGATATATGGCTTTTAAAAGACACTTTCTGGCTCTATCTTTGCTAATCGCTGTGATATATGACTTTTAAACGACACTTTTCTGCCTTTATCTTTGCTACTGGCTATGATATATGGCTTTAAAAAGACACTTTTTTCTGCCTTTATCTTTGCTACTAGCTGTGATATATGACTTTTACAAGACACTTTTCTGTCTTTATCTTTGCTACTGGCTGTGATATATGGGTTTTAAAAGACACTTTTCTGCCCTTATCTTTGCTACTAGCTGTGATATATGGCTTTTAAAAGACACTTTTATGCATTTATCTTTGCTACAAGCTGTGATATGTGGCTTTTAGAAAAAATTTTCGGCCTGTACCTCTGCTACTAACGTTCTAGAATCGGTGGGTTATACGCTACGGGCGCAGAAATTGAACAAGGCCGGATGCAACATTCACTATAATGCAGGCAAAGCCTCTTTTGTTCAATACCACCAGCAATCGACTAAAATAGTCTACGCCTGTTGTGAGACTATTCAAGAGAAATTCACCCATGTCTATAAACAAAAGATGATTGTTACATATTCAAAACACTAGAACTTAAATGACAACCATGTTCATTGCAAACTAAAGCCAATTAGTGTAATAACAAACTAACCTCTCGCGAATTGGGCAAATTAATATTTTAAGAAAAGAAGAAAAATACTAAACAGTTCCAGACCGCTTACTCCAATTTCTCAATTAACAATTTGTTTACCCCATGCCTGCCTGCCTGTCAAACCTGTCCTTCCCCGCATTTTATATAAAAATTCACAAGTCAATAGTCGAAAATAACATACTCTGCTAAAAAGTATGAGACGCTTAAAAACTCTGATTGATTAATTAAGTGAAATGCGCAAAGAAAGTTTGGAGATTGCAAGGCTGGTACTAATGACACTAAATAATTTAAATAAATAAGTTTAACTTTGTCCATTTTAGGTAGAAAATTGCATGACAGTGATGATTGGTTTATTCAAACGAGAGAGGTATGAAAATTTAATGGGGAACTGTGCGTGGAAGAGGACGACAGGGAACCTAGTGTTGGGAATTACTGACATTAGAATTGGTTCCCGAATTCAAGGCCGTAGCTTAATGTAGGCTTTTGAAAGGACGACCAAATTGTTTTGTTTTCAATTACGTACGTATCAATCCAGACCCAATCGCCTTATCTTGGATTGCGTTACTGCTAAGGAATCCAGTCTGATTCCTTTCACTATCTGACTGGACAGTGTCGTGTAATAATTTACATCGCATTCATATGAATACAATATTTACAAACAACACGTGGATAAACTCGATGTGATACAATAAAAAGGGCAAATGCAATCGACGATGTTCTCAAGAAACCTAACTAATTTAAAAAAATAGATTAAATGAAATTGAATATTTGTTTTCCACAATTTTAATGAAAATTATCTGTATTGTCTTAATTTTTCTTTTCAAATGAGTTCTTTTGTACGATATATTAGTATGGTTATGAACCAGCTAATACAATCTTATCTGTTCTTGTCATTTTACCAACTAATATAATTTTAACTTTACCAGCTAATATAATTGTACCAGCCTCTACATTCTATTAATTGACATCATTATTCCAGCTAATACATACAATTTCATACGATAATACTACTATTTTACATGCTTAAAATTATTATCTTTAAAATACATGCATGATTCGACATATTCAATCGTACCTTGGTCTCAGAAACTGAGATTGTTCAGCTGAGCTGATCGGTTAAAGTATTCACAGTTACCGTCAAAATTTGAGCCTTCTTATCGATGTGTATCCCTGTTTGATAGTTAAAAAGACGACTCGATTTTTTAATACGCCTAATTGCCGTCGCCACTGTCCGTCGGTCCCTCTGTTCATATTTCTTGTAGGCGCGACAGAGGCTACAGTTTTTATCCGATCTTAATGAAACTTGGTATGCGTGGTCTTGGTCAAGTTCGAATTTGGTAATAATCAAATGAACGATTTCAGAGTTATTGCCCTTGACTTGAAAATTCAATGTTAAGCCACAAAAGAGTTTATTATCATTTCTGACAGCTGGTAGTGGGCCGGGCGTATGTTACCTTGCCTGGCAAGCTATCTTTATTTCAAGACAGTGGCGTTAACCCCTAATAATGATGAACCATATACTTTAAGGAACTCAAGTAGACAGGAATAGAAAATGAAGGTATCTTTATTTTACCACAATCATAGGTGTGGAAAGTATAGTGGGACTTCAACACTAATAGACAGTTTCAGCTGTCTTCTATGCATATTAACATAATTGATATTGCTATAATTCTGATCTTCTCTCTATATCTACCACCAAAGTTCGGTGTATTAATTTATTTATAAAATTTAATGCTTTAACATAATTAATTGTAAAGAATCTTTACCAAATTGTTTTATCTTCATAATGCTGATTTTGATAGCGTTTGCCCACGTTAAAGTATTTGATTGTTTCAAGGAAATAAAAATCTGGACGTATAGGCTGAAATTATAAATATTTAATATCACCACAATAAAACAATGTTGATCAGATGATCTCCATATTCTATAACGAACTTCTTATTGTTTCAATAAACTTTCACAATTTGATTTCTAGTTTATGCTTTTCAGCCAATACAATATCAGAAAAATGGTTGTATATACGTACATGTGTGTAAATTGTTAAGCTAAAAGAATATAATCGTTGAAAAAAGGTTTTTAACATTTCAGATGTAAAATCTGTCAATTCAGTAAAACCATCAACCAATCCCCATGCTTACAATATTACAATCTGTTTTTATTTATTTCACCGTGTCGATGGATGCAAACATATTCAAAAACCTAGATTCTGTTATCAGTGCCTTAGATGATTTCATCACAAAATTATGAAAATCAATTCCTTATCAGAAATCAATTACTTCTTTTTTGGTCATGAACCTCTTGAATGGGTTAGTGAAAATAAACAAGGTGTGTGTATTGAGAGAGATTTTGCCAGGATGGTGTTAAGTGTACTGAACCACCATGGACCCGAACTGCTGTCAAGATAGAATTATCAAAAATGGCAACGCCTCAAACACCCCTGTCACATAGGGAATGCGTTCTTACTGCCAGTTCCAGTGTTTGTTTTGGACATTTTCACAATAAGTGCGAGCTCCACGGGATCTATCGTGGATGCCCCAATCAAGCCCATAGATTTAAATAGAACACACTGAATGCGTAACAGTCTTCTGAATACCCTGTGGGAACGTAACATGATCACATCGGTCGAAAAATGTGAATTTTCAAGTGTTTTTCTCACGTTTGCCTACGACCTATCGACGTAAAACAGCAAATGGTTTAGTACTTGGATATTAATTTCTCATCAGAAGCACAGCTTAGTTTAGCTAGTTAGTCAGATATGGACTAAATTCTAAAGTACATATTGCAAGTTTTGAGAACCGCGAATGAAATGAAATGATCATACTATTATGTTTTAATTGGTAAAAAAGCAACTAGCCTTTTTATGCATTTGTCGAGTATTCCATCCTTGAGGCCACTTGTTTCTTTGTTCATTGATGAATGTGAAATTTTATATGATTTAAAGATTGTGAATCTTTTGACCTTATAATGAAATAGCACACCTGAAGGGCTAACATTTTTATTCTCTGCATTATAATAAAATGTATTTATAAATGTTCTTTAAAATAGATAAGGCCAATGGCGCATAGGCTCATGGTCTTATTGGTGAAAATATTTAGCCTCATCAAGGTACATGTATATACAAACTATGAATATTAAATAACGGAACACAATTTTATTAGTTTTTATTCGTTTTTATTACACACTAATGTTCTTGTCCATGGTAGATTAGATCCCCTTTCATTAACTCCCTGAAACAATCGCTTTGCATTTCTGAATTATTTGTTTATCTTATAAATCTCCCCAGAAGTAGGTAATTTTCTATCAAATTGGTGTATTTCAAGGCTGAGTCCCTACTTGTGACCTAGGCCAGTGCATCTGTAAGAGAGTTTCTCTTATAAAACCTTAAACTACGTTTCAACAATCTACATTATCATCATCAGGTGAAGTGAAGAAAATAAAGTTTAGTCAATTTGCAGTTGCCTTCGAACTCAGTTGCTCGTGTACAAATGTCTTGCAAAAATTGATTCTTGACAGTGAGATGATCGCAAGTCTTTTTCAAAAGTTGTTGTTTGATATCACTTCTCCACTTATTGAATTCTTGGATCAGTTGACCCAATTTCATATTCTGAATAAAACATTTGTTGAAAGCAAGTGCTTGGCTCTCGATTTTAAAATTTCGTACTCCTGTACCTAGATCATGGTGTGGTCTCAAATTTTTTAATCAAGTCGAAGCGATATTGACTCTTTTGTGAAAAAGAAATTCGGTTAATCATGCAGAACTGACAAAAAACCTGGATATATCAGTACACATTTCCTGGTCAGTGAATACAGATTATCATTAACAGGAAACATTTTCATTTCCCTTATCACATCTTCAATGTTTTCATAAAATTGCAGTAATAAATCTCGCCATGAAAATCTCTTGTGGCATCATGACAATATTTTGTCAACAGAACTTAATATACTCTTGTCCGTTTCTGTTTATTAACTTCAGAAGAGTTTCAATACAATATAGTGATAAATTCCTTCATTTCTTCAGCTTATCAGAGCTTCTTTCTATTGGCTTATTTCAACTGTCAATCAATGTCAGGTTCTGAAGAAACCAGTAATTTTGTTGACGCCCAACACTTCAAATTCCACGTTGAATTAAGTTTCTGGAGAGCTTGACAAATCTACTATCTCTTAAGAACTAATCTCAATTACCGACTTATTAGGAATCGTGTTGTCGGCGAAAGTCTTTAAAGAATTAACTAGGAATCATTATAGGTTTATCAGTTTCACTTTTGTTGTCTTAAGGAAAATAGATGCATGAAAGGAAAGATAACTAGCTGATTAGGTTGCGTTAATATTGGTGACAACCCCCGCAATCGAGATGTGGATGGAGTTTGTTCTGTTTCTTATAAAGTTGACTGATTATAAAAAGACCCTCATTCTATCTTAGGGAAGATTCTTAACAAAGATGTGGTCACAATTTCTACTCTTTCTGACATTAACTTTAATCATTCAATTAAAACCAGTGATTGCAGGGGATTTAAACGATTTGAAGGAAACGCAAGGAGACAATAAGAACGTCAAAACAATTGGTGTCGACGAAGAAGAGATAAAGAATATAAAAAGACTTCGTAACTTTGTGGGAAAACGTGAACATGTAAATGACGAAGATACCAGTTTCAAAGACAGAATAGGTAGAATACATTCATTGGACTTAGTTTCAAGTGATAAACGCTTAAGAAATTTTCTTGGAAAACGTTCAGAAACAGACAGTTTTTTTCAACAAAAGCGTTTAAGAAACTTTTTAGGTAAACGTTTGTATACTTCTAACGATAAAAGGTTGCGAAATTTCGTAGGCAAAAGAGAAGATTTTACAACTGAAGATAAACGTTTAAGGAATTTTGTTGGTAAAAGGAACGATCTGATATCAGAAAAAAAGCGATTAAGAAATTTCGTGGGCAAAAGAGACGAGTTTACATCGGGAGAAAAGCGATTGCGAAATTTCGTGGGCAAAAGGGACGAGTTTACATCGGAAGAAAAGCGATTACGAAATTTCGTGGGCAAAAGGGACGAGTTTACATCGGAAGAAAAGCGATTGCGAAATTTCGTCGGAAAAAGAAGTGACAGAGATTTCAGTGAGGAAAACAGTTTGCAAAAGGTCGATGATAATAACCAGAAAAGTGGTCAAAATCAAGAAAAACGCCTGAGAAACTTTTTAGGAAAACGGAATGTATTTGACGTTGATGTGAAACGATTAAGGAATTTTCTTGGAAAACGAATCTTCACGGATAGCAGTCTCCATAAAAGATTACGAAATTTCGTAGGAAAGCGGTCTGATGACATACTTGAAAAACGATTACGGAATTTTTTAGGCAAACGATATAATGTGGATTCAAGTGAAGGGCCATTCTCGTACCAAGTGAAAAGATTACGGAATTTCCTTGGAAAAAGGGATTATTTTAAATATGGAGATGCTGTCAAAAGGTTAAGAAATTTCCTAGGAAAACGCGACAACCCTTTTAAATTGGAGTACTCCAATTTTAAAACAGGAAACGATTTAGCTGACAGTTTTAAAACTTCAAGTGGTGCTGGGCCAGTTTCCAAACGTTTACGGAATTTTGTAGGGAAACGTGAATATTTCGAATCCAAGGATAAACGCTTGAGAAATTTTGTTGGAAAACGTGAAAAAACTCATGACAATTTAAATGAAGAAAAGCGACTAAGAAACTTCCTTGGTAAACGACAAGGCCAATCACAGTCACAGTTGGAATCGGACAATATTACGGAACAAAAACGACTGGGGAATTTCGTCGGTAAAAAGAGAGATATCCGTGATTCCGAAGACGATAACGACGAACCAATGCAGAAACGGCTGCGAAATTTTGTTGGTAAAAGAGAAGAAGATGGTGACATTGAAGAAGAGAAAAGATTGAAGAATTTTGTCGGGATACGAGATTCCAATGACGACAATGCTGTGGAGAAACGACTCAGAAATTTTGTTGGCAAACGTTCTGCTGAAACGGTTGAAAAACAGGATTATCCTGATACCTTCTCCAGAAAAAGACGCTCCTTGGATGATTATGAAGAATTTTACAATCCAAGCAAACGATTAAGGAATTTTGTTGGAAAAAGATCACATTCTGATTATTTCCATGATATTTCAGAAGAAAAACGCTTGAGGAATTTCGTTGGAAAACGTCAGTCTTCTTACTTCAGCTACCCCGAGAAACGACTCCGAAATTTTGTTGGTAAACGTTTGAGAAATTTTGTGGGCAAAAGAAGTGAATATGACCTGAATGGAGATTTCACACCATGGTACCTAGAGGAACAGAAACGTCTTCGGAATTTCGTCGGCAAGAGGGACGGCCCGTATTTATCATATCCCAAATACCCAGTACAAAAGCGTCTGCGAGATTTTTTAGGTAAACGTAGCAGCTCTCTGGATGACACGGAATATAGCCAGGACCAAACATACGGCATTGACAAACGACTACGGAATTTTGTTGCCAAACGATCTCCATCTGAAGTGTACGGCACCCTTTATAACGAGCCCAGTGTGCATCAACCCCATAAAAGATTTGAAGAAGTTATACGCAAAAGAGTGGCAAGAGCTGTTTCCTCGCAATTTGTTCCTGTTATTCATAAAAGACTTCGTGAATTTATCGGGAAATGATGTTTTGTCTGCTGTATTAATGTAAGTGGACAAAATGTTATGTTATTAAATAAAAAGCCTTTCATTTTTTTGTTGTAAAGTTGTATTTATAATGAAAAAAAAAACGCTGGGAGTAAAATATATTATCTGAAAACTGGTGTACTTAATACTTAACATGAAGCCAGGCCATAAATCTGTTAAGTTTAAGAGATTGCAATAAACTGTGTTATCTCATTATATAAGGGAAACAAATTTATTATGTCTCTGTGCGTAATAATACGTTAAAAGAAATGCAATATTTCCTTTCCTTTGGCATAACTCTTAGATACGGATTTTTCCCCTTAGTCCTCAAAATATTTTCTTAACTGATTCTACTACTGTTTAATCGCTTTCTACCAGCAAAAGAGGATATATAGGTAGCTTGATTAAATGTAAATCATGTTATTCCATCAAAGGCAGAATGAGTTTGGTGTCGATTAATTAGACTTAAATCCACGAATGAAGTGTAGGTATAGGATAATCTGTATTCGATATTGACTATTGTCAGTAGTCTTAATGCTAGCCGTGTCTACTAAAAAAGGGAGCTATGACAAGGGAGCTTACGTTTTCAATAACTTACTTATATCACTACTCTAAAGTTCGCATTATCTAGCGTATCAGTATAGTGCAGAAAATTAGAACGTTATCTTGTTGACATTTTGTCTTTGATCTTAAATGTAATTATGCCCCCGAGATAAGCGTTTATTAGTTTCTGCCTCTAGCTGAGCCAACTAAGAGTAGGGTGACATAGATAACAAGTTATATATCTGCATCTAATCATCTCTTTCAGAAGCCACAGTAGCTCATAAAGCGAACGTTTGCTCGAACCAATGGTGGTCGGCGTAAAAAGGCTGGCGACATTTCTCATTATTCCAATTATATATTTATTGTTCATGGGTACAAATAATCTTGGGGGGGGGGGGGGGGGGGGGGGGGGGGGGGGGGGGT